TCCATCCATCCATCCATCCTTTTATTATTTGGTCCACCCATAAATCTGTTTGTCCATCAATCAAAGACTCAGAAATCTGGGAATTTAACTTTGAAAATGTTGAAGCTTGGCTTTAATAATAAATAGAAACAGTTAGTAGAAGCTGGGGGCTCGGCGGTAGTGCCTCAGTTTAGTGGGGATGTTGTACAATACCACACTAAAAGCCCCCCAGGCGGACGCTTTAAACTTAATGAGAAGAAAACTTTACCAGAGTATAAACCACTAGATCTGAAAATTTAGATATGTATGATAGCCTAATCTAGGAAGATGAACCATGAAAACACTCAGCAGGCTGCAAATTATTTAGGAAGTTGTCAAAAAAATATCAATAGATGTAAAAAAACATTTTTTAAATGAGGTTGAGTGGTCCTACGTCAGGGAATTATCACCACAACAAATCCTGAAATTATCCCAAATACCTGTAGGTGCTCTATAAAGTAACCATGTGTTGAACAGCTGTGGCAGCTTTGCTCTACTACTCCAGCTACTCTGTTTTTTTTTGTTACCTTCATTAACTGGCGAAGAAGTAAACTCATTCTAAATCCCTTTGGTTTTTAAAGTCGTCAGACGGCAACGTCAGACGGTCACCGAAAACCAGAACCAAAAAGCGGTGGTGAATAAAAGCTGGTTCTGCTTCTCTGACAATAAATTTCAGACTTAAATGCCTTGTGGTCCACCAGAATGTTTATTTAACTTTTCTAAAGAAATAAGCTGCGCTCAGTGATCGCAGTGCCAGCTTTTTCTATCCGTATATGTTTTGTAATCCCAGAAAAGTCTCCTTTGGCTCGCTCCCAGTTGCCCCTTAAACAGCTTCTCAGTGTATGGTACATAATATCAATAGAAAACAGCTGTAGGTTTTTAATGCATTCCTCAATAACTGCTGTGTAAAAACTTTGAAATAGTGAGAACAATTTTAGAGAAAGTTCTCAAACCATCGTTGCATGAACGTGTTGAACCCACTCTGCTCATTCTTCTGTTTAGGCCAAACAGGTCATCTGCTGCAGTCCCTCTGCTTCACCAGTATGTCCTTCCTGCTGCTGCACATCATCTATCAGATTACCATCAACAGCCTCCTGGCTGGGAACTCCATCTCCTCTGACTTCAACTGTGAGTACACTGGAGCTTTTGTGGCCGAAGCTTTAAGTTATATGGTGTGCAGAAGAATTAAAGCACAACTCAGGATCTGAGAGGAAGTAACAGAGCGGAGTAATGGAGGGTTCTTAGACTGCTTTTGTCGCTTTTAAAGAGAGATAAAAAAGCATCTTAGTTTGATTGGCCTGCAGATAGCAATTGTTTGTACATTTTCCTAGTAATGCTAAGGTACAGCTAATGTTTTAATTTGGTTTAAGCTGACTCCAGATATTGGTGGTTAGTGCCCCCGGTGGAAATCTGCAGTTTTGCCACATACTTGTTCATGTCAGACATATGTGTCCCATTAATCCTGCAGACCAGTTTCTGTCTGAACTCTGACCTAAGCAACTGATGTGGTGTCCGTAAAGAGGGTGGAGCTTTTCAACAGCCTGAAGCCAAAAAGAGTTTTAAAAAAAAGTTGTTGTTTTTTTGAAATATGCCCATTATTATCATATAGTTTCTACAACTTTTTGTGACTTTTAGACCCCTTTAAAGAATTTGCTGGTCATTTTCCTGGGACTCTTAAGCTGCAATCTACCTGCAAAGTACTTTGAATACATAAAGGCCACTTCCTGTAACACATAAGTTAATGGATCTGATAGGTTACCTTTCGTGCAACTTTTAAAAGAGCTATGGGCTTCAGCCTCTGAATCATTTGGTTTTGCTGTTTCTCTAGATATTATAGGCCCCCCTCTGAAACAAGAAGGGTATTCTTCTTAGACATACAGTTTACTTCCCCTGGATGTGAAAGGTCACCTTCTGTCATTTTTATAAACACTGTTTTAAAACTTAAAGGGTACATTTGGAAACTTGATAAGGGATCATACAGGATACATTTAGTGGTATTAAAGGTTATCCTCCTAACCCTGAAGGGTACTTCCTATCCGTTTTAATTTGCAGAACCTGCAGATTACTTTTTCTGAAGCTTTTTAACTAGGCTTTACAGGTTCCTCCCAGTTTTACAGTGTCCTTGAACTAAAAGGGAACACTATGGACAAGGCGTAAGCTCAGAGGGGGCTGTGCCTGTTCTGTAGCTGGTTCCAAACTCTAGAGTCTGCAAACCTCTAGGGTTTCCAAACTTTTTCATATTCAGGATGTAAATGTCTGTTGATTTTATGTTTTCTCTTATTTTCTGTATGTTACTTATTTTTTTTTTTTTACATTGTTTTCATTACATTTTATTGCATTTAATTGTGTATTTATTTCTGCTTGGGTATTCTACCCCCATTTTCCTATCAGTTACTTTCCTTGAACGCATAGTTTACATTTTTGTAATATACAGGTAGCTTCTCCAAATGCTTACAGCCACATAACATATAGTTTATGATGAATTGAATGTTTACTTTCTGCAGGTTACAGTTTGCTTTTTATGAAACCTACAGGTTACTTGTGCAAACCAATGGGATATTTGTTCTGGAGCTTACAGGTTGCTTTCCTGGAAGATACAGACTATTCCTCTGAAATTTAATTATAACTTACAGTACTGTAAAATTATCCAGTTCTATGATCCGTAACCCTTTCCTACATTTAGTTTACTCTCTTGAACCATACTCTGATGTAGAAACCAACCTGTTATGAATAGAGTAAGCTACTCGCTCAATGGTGGAAAGGTGTTAATAGCTGGCCTCTGGGCTTCTCAAGAGATGGGGTATCCAGTTATAAAGTTTGAATGTGTCTAGACGGGGACACAGCCTGACCTTGTGCTCTAATGGCTTGTTCTTTCTAATGAGGGCAGATTGCTTTGCTTAGTAGATTCTTGGCAGAAGTGAGGGAGCAGAATGAACTTTACCACCTCAGGCGGAAACACAGAGCCGTTCAGAGAGCACAGGCTAAATATGCTCTTTATTACAGGATTCTCTGGGGCAGTGAACTTTTTTTGGCGGATCATAAATCCTGTCTACTTTATCTCACGTTGCAATATCCCTTCAGTGACATGATATGTTATGTTTCAGTTTGGGAATTTATTACTACATTTTTTTGGTCATATCTTCTTCTCCCCATGAGTTATTTATACAGTATATACTGAGTTTTGTGTGAAAGTACTTCCCCCCCTTAATTCCTTGTTTTTTTCTGTTTTTTACAGCTAAATTGTTTCATTTAAACTATTTTTAAATATCACATTGAGATAAGGTTTTTAGTGATCATTTCATTTTTTATGGAAAAACTATCCAAGCCAGCTTGGATTTCTGTGAAAGAGGACATTCCTTTAAATTCAAGAAGCTGATGAGTTTGCAAAAACTTGAATATTCTTTTTTTTATTTTGCTGTGGAGGTGTCTTGGCCCACAGCTATTTATAGGACTGTTTAAATTCAGTCACAATTGGGTTTTGAGCAGATTGGCATGTCTAAGATTGCATCACAGTATCTTAATTGGATTCCAGTTCAGACCTCGACTGGATTTTTTAATTTAAATTTTTTTTTTTTTTTTTTGAGCCCTTGAAAACTGGCTTGACCATTTGCTTTAAATGTCTGTCCTTCAGCACAATATAAGCGCACAGGACTCATTGTTTAGTCTCTTACGGAAAGTCATGCAGGTCCCAAAGTAGCTACAGTAATGGCTCCTAAACATTATATTTCAGCCACCAGGTTTGACTATTGGTATGATGTGTGGTTCTTCTAACTTATAAGTTCTTACTTGGAGGCAATTTCTGAAAAGTAGAATCATAACACTGACCTTGAATGATGTGGATTATGTCTGCAGGGCTTTGTATGTTGTTCTGGGTTCTCCTGGGGCCTCCTGTCTTCAATGTGCTCTTGGAGTAAAACTAGCCGGTTGGTAACTTAGGGACAGGGCTGAGCAGTCTAACCTGGTTTCTATATTTTAGACAATAATACTCTATACTTCTGCTTGCTGGAGTCACAGACTCTCAGAAATAACTCAATGTTCATAAGCCATGGCATTATATGTTGCTTTTTGAGAAGTTTTAGCCTAATTCCAGCTGTCATACAGGTTGTAGTTAAGAGGTTTCTCATTTCACTAATTATGTGCTGACAGAGTATTTAGCCAGTGTGTAATTAGTGAACTTCATAGTTCTTAAAAAACAAACAAACTGGTAATCACAATTCAGGATTTTATATGGGGGCATTTATATGGGGTGGGTTGGGTTAATGTTTTACTCTTAATAAATCAAACAAAGGTTTTTCTATATTTATTGATAGTATCTATAGTGATATATTATTGATTAGTAATATTGTCTGCTATAAGCAGCATTTTCATGATGTACACATACAAAAAGCTGCAACATTAATTAATGTTGCAGCTTTTTTATGTGTATTTACTGCATTACCACCAGGTTACAGGCTTATAGTGCCTGCATTATACTGCTGGTTTTCACAAAGCACATATTCTTTTCATAATCTTCTTCTAAGGAGTTAGAGTTTCTTGTAATCTTTTAAATTTGTTTTAGATTTCAAATCCTCCAGGCTTTATTTTAAGATGCTAATGTTCTGTCGGGTTCTTGTGCCTGACCTTACCTCTACCTCTTGTACCTTTAGAATGCTCAAACCCTCTGGCAAAATACAGGGGGAAAAAAGCAGCATTCTCAGGATACAGAAACTATTAATATATACTATACTGCATCTAAAAGTCATGCAACTATTAATATAAAAAGGGAATGTCTTTTATGTTGCATCTAATGGTCATCAGATCTCATTTTATCTCTGTAGGCTTATGTCAAACAATTTGTATATATATTTTTTTAGATTGTAAAAGGAAGTCTGACGTTATGCTTGTGCTATTTCTGACTAGATGCCTTATCTTAGATTTCTGTAACCTCCTTGACACCCTTTTCCTTTTGGCAGCCAAGTATTAATGTGGAGTCCTCCTTTTTAAAATGGTTATCCTGTCTCTGGATATCTTAGCAGACTTTACTGTGTTTTTAGCAGCCAAAAAAACACAAGATTTCTGCGCTAAGCTGAGTATGAACCAGAAAAAACTTGACCCTCAGACGGTCAGGGCAGGTCAAGCAATGGTCACCAGATGAGCCATAGCCGACTTCCTTTGGAGTCATCTGTCTTCCCTATGTACTGACTTGACACGCACAGAGCTGCATTTACAAACTGTTTGTATTAACTGTGAAGGAGGACCAGATGGGTGGAGTTTGTTACATTTCATGTTGACTTAATTGCCCACAGAGTAAAATTATCTCTCTGACTTCCAGATATTTTCCTGCAATTGTCCATACTTTTTGGTGGTCATTGTCCTATAATGCTGATCTCCAGATACCTACAGTAATAGGCTAGAAGGTTTAAACATGACATGCTCAAATGTTTACCCTTCGTGTTGTCACTGTGTAAAAGGGTGCAACTGGCATTCAGCCTATACAGAGATAGAGGAGAGTACAAAAAAATGCTTTAGCAAGGTTTACAGTCCGGGAAGCAAGAAGGTTGTTTTATGATGCTGACATAAAGTCTGTAGGACAGGCATTTCCGGTACCCGGTTGGGATGAAACGCTGGCCCTGCCTCGACAGACTGAAAGTCTCTCAATCTCTTTCAGAAGTCTCCATGCTGAGCTCAGTTCGTTTTACACAATATTCCCCCTGTCATGCTACGGATCAGACTGTACCTCATTTTACCTCTGGCATTCCTGTAGCATGAAGTCACACTCAGAATGGGGGGTTTCCTCCCACACCTGAAGGTTTAGAGTTGGCAGGGAGAAATTACGTGTTGCAGATGTTTGGAGCTGGAAAACTTTTAAACAGACTATGATTTGCTTGTCGTCACTGGATTTTATTTAAACATTTGAATGGAGTAGTTTGACTGTGGTATTTAAAACAACACAGAAAAAAAACCTTATCCTTATCTGTGGAGCTTTCTGTGTTTCATCTTGGCTGTTTTAGCTTTTGATGACATTTTATTTTCCACAACTGTGCTTTTTGACCCAACACACTCTTTTTCTTATAGTGTATGGGTTTAAGTAGCTCTAACTAATTTTGTTCCAACACCAGGTGATTTTTCCGAGCCTTGCAGGTTATTCT